ATGTGTTCACATTCATAAATATTTGCTGGTTGATGAAGAGGGAAATTATAAGTGGAGCTCATAGGAGTCCAAGGTTCCTGATATAAAGAGACAGAGAGAGAGGTCTGAGCTAACTCCACATTCCGCAGAGGAGGAATCAGAGGACTAGAAAAAGTGTTGTGTTCAAATTGCATGGGTAGCTGCTGATAAGAGCCAGAAAACCCCAGGATTTCTGGGTGTGCTCTGTACCCTGCTTTCCTGTGGCTTGGCTAGCAAGCGACCTTCTAAAAAGACATGCTGGGTGTGGTAGTGTATGCCTATAATCCCAGCGCTCAGAAGGCTAAGCCGGAGAACTGTGTGTTCTTAAGACCCTGTCTTAGGAAAACAAGAGAGAGAGAGAGAGAAAGGAAGGAAGGAAGGAAGGAAGAAAGAAAGAGAGAGAGAAAGAAAAAGAAAGAGACAAAGAAAGAGAGGAAAGAAAGAAGAAGGGTAGGGCAGGGCCCTGAGAGGAAAGAGAGAAGGGTAGGGCAGGGCCCTGTGGCCTGTTCAACAAGTTGGAATCTACTTGACAAAGGACCCTCCAGGCATCCCCAGCCTGACCCAGGACGTATACCTGTGAATCTCAGAGGCACCCAGAGTGAAGAAGCAGCCAGCCACCTCTCCACTTTGCTTTTGAGCCCCTACTTTTGATGACAGTGTCACGTGCGGGTGGTACACAGTGTGGGTGGGAAATGGAAAGGAACAGCCTGAGAAGGCAACTGGGAAAATGCTAGTGCTCCCTCTCCCCAACATGCTTTTCACGTTTAAGAAAGAAAACATTGAGAGAACAGAGAGCACCAAGGACCTGAAGGCTGAAGCGCTCTCTGTACCTACAGTCCATCACAAGCAGATTTTGAAAACTAGATAAGCATGAAAGATAAACATGGAGGTGAGTTGCAGAAACGCTTGGGCAAGGGTGATCCTGCTGGTCTTGCTCCCAAGCGCACCACCAGGTTACATGTGGACGGATAAAGCTTTGGAATATTTATAGCTCTATCTATATTCGTATCTGAAACACAACTCAAACATCCATACAGGCCCCCTCCAAACGAGCCCTTTCCCACTTTTCCAGCAGTACTTCTTACTACATCCTACCATGCTCCTTAAGTAACACCATGCCTGACTATTTACTACTCCTTCGACAGTCACTGAGCACCTCCTTGTTCCAGCCAATAGGCAAATAAGTATGGTGTGTTAAATGAATTAGTTTCTTCGTGTAGTCCAATGTGCTGGCATAGGTATGCATAGAAAATATTATTTATTTTTCCTTCTCCCTGCCCCTCGGCCTGGCTTTTAGTCTTTCCCCTTCTTGCTGTGGTCCTTCTCTCTTGAGCAGTTTTTAGTATTTTGTTATTTGTTTGTTTGTTTGATTTGTTTTGGTGGTATTGGAGATTGAACCTAGGGCCTCAGGCTGAGCTACAACCCCAGCTCCTCAAGCTTGCAATGGCGCCTCCTTCCTTAGCCTCCCAGAATGCTGAGATAAAGGTGAGCTTCACCTACTCAGCTGTCTTTGGTATTTTGTGAGGGAGAACCGGGAGAACACTGGGATGCCAGAAGAAAGGCCATTAGCAGAAGGTGGAGGTCAAGGATACAGTTTTTTGTTGTTGTTGTTGTTGAGGCAGGTCTCGGGGTCTCACTGTGCTGTGGAAACTGGTCTCAGACTGCTGGGTTCAAATGATCTTCCTACCTCAGGCTCCTGAATGCTGGGTCTACAGGAGCATACCATCATGCCTGTTTTTTTTGTTGTTTTCTTGGTAGTGGAGGTTGAGTCCAGGGAGCACTGAGCTAAAATCCTCAGCCCTTTACATTTTTAAATTTTGAGACAGGGTCTCATTAAGTTGCCCAGACTGGTCTTGAACTTGCAATTCTACTGCCTCAGCCTTCTGAGTATCTTGGATTACAGGTGTGCACCACTACACCTGGGAAGGAGTTGTTTTTTTTTTTTGTTTTTTTTTTTTTTTTTTTAAGGGCTCTGGTGTATGAGAAAATATTATGGTTGGATGAGAAAGAAAGCAAGGGGATTTTTTTAGGACAATGGTTGGTGATTCTGTACTTCCTTCTTAATGCAAAGAATTACAAGCAAAGACCGTGAATAGTTGTTGAAGTGACTTTTGGTTGCACAGAAAGGGTCCTTCTGACCTAGACAGCATTCTGGAGTTTTGATTTTATGTGCTGTTTGCATTATTTCATTGGACAAAGATTATTGATCAGCCTGAATATGCAGTTACCATGAAAGACCCAACAAAATGGATCTAGTTCTCTAAAAGTTTGAAAATATTAAAGAAACAGAAGATCATTAAATTGTGATATGTATTCTGAAAGAAAGCATCACGGTACTGAGACAGAGAGAGAGAGAAAGAGAGACAGAGGGAGAATGAATTGGTGAACACCTTTCTGTCTTTGGAACATATCTTGCTCTTCACACATTAAGGTAAAGACCTTAATGAACAAAGGTTCATTCTCTTTTTTGGTTTTTCTCCGGTACCAGGAACCGAACTCACGACCTTGCAGTTGCCAGGCAGGCCCTTTGCCGCTGAGCTAAATCCCCAGCCCCTTCTTTGTTCATACTCTTAATGCCAAAGTACTTTCTTTTGAGAGTGCACCCTATAAAAATCTTAATATTATACTGAAAGGCTCAAATGTCACCTTCAAGATGTCATTTTAGGACTCCCATTTAGACTATTCCCTTCTGACACATTACTTGCCAGTCTATTATAATACACAGTTCATTCTGCCAAGTAGAAATCGATTGTAGAGGGATGAAGTGCTCCAGTTTTCCTGGTACTGACGGCTGTTCTGGGATGTAAGACTCTTTCCTGGGTACAGTGCTAAAACCTGGACAGTCCTGAATGGATAGGGCTGAGTTGATAGTCACTCTAACCTCTGGACAAGTCTATATTCCTTTTTTAAATTTTTATTCACTGAGCTATATCTCCAGCCCTTTTTATTTTTTATTTTGAGATGGTCTCACTAGGTTGCCCAGGCTGGGCTTGAACTTTCGATCCTCCTGTCTTAGACTCCCTAGTAAGTGGGATAACAGGACTGTGCCACCTTCTCTACATCCAATATTCCAGAAAGGGGGCCAACTTTTTTGTTATTCACACAATGGCTTACACAAAGAGATGGTGATAATCTAAACACCAACAAGAATGGCTTGCTCTTGAACACTTGGGATATTCCAGGCTCTGTGTGAGCTCCTTACAGTAACCAAATAGGTCAGGCATTTCCTTTCCTGTAGAGAAACTAAGACCAAACCAGTAAAGCCAGCATTTGACAGCACCAGACTGAAAAAGGGCATTTAACCACTGTGCTAAAACAGTGGTTCTCAAACTTTTTGATCTTAGGATCTTTTACACACTCAAAAATTATGGAAGACTCCCCCCAAAGAAAAGTTTAGGTCGGCTAATGTATTAATAGTTATTATTAAAAATTAAAACTGAGAATTTAAAAAATATCCACTGTATTTAAACATTAATTCACATGAACGTTCATACACTTTCTTTGAGATGGAATCTTGCTATGTTGGTCAGGCTGGTCTCCAACTCCTGGACTCAAGCCAGATCCTCTTACTTCAGCTTCACTAGTACTCAGACTAAAGGCACAGGGCACCACACTGGGCTTTAATAATACTTTGTTTTTTCCGTATCGGTACCCAGAACTTCACACATGCTAGGCAATCACTCCACCACTGAGTACATCTCCAGCCTCCTTTGTTTTTTTTTTTTTTTTTGTTTGTTTGTTTTTCTTCCGGTACCAGGAGTTGAACTCACTACCTTGCGCTTGCCAGGAAGGTGCTTTGCCGCTGAGCCAAATCCCCAGCTCCTCCAGCCTCCATTGGAGAACATTTTTTGATGACTGGAGATGTAGCTCCGTGGTACAGTGCTTGCCTAGCATTTGTGAAGCCTGGGTTTGATCATTAGCACCACCCAAAAAAAGATAAGTGAAAAAAAAGACATGGTTTTTGAGACAGGGCTTGGCTAAATTGCTCAGGCTCACCTAGAGCTTGCCATCTTCCTGCCTCAATCTCCCCAGTGGCTGGAATTACAGGTGTGAGCCATCGAGCCTGGTGATAACTTTTGTTTTGTTTTTATGAGACAGGGTCTTGCTAGGTAGTCTAGTCTGGCCTCAAACTCACTGTGTAGCCCAGACTGGCCTTGAACTCATGGAAATCCTACTACTTCAGCATCCTGATTACAGGTGTGCACCATTACACTCAGCTAATAACTCACTTTTAAATGAAAACTACTAACTATATTTTCCAGAACCAAAAAATATGCTAACGAGAATGGCAAGGTTATTTTAATTTAATTTAATTTTTTTTTTTTTAGACATAAGAGTCTCGTTTTATAGTTCAGGCTGTCCTCGAACTCACGGCAATTCTCCTGCCTCAGTCTCCCGAGCGCTGGGTGGATTCTCACATCTACTACACTCAGTCTGCTGCAGTATTATGTCCCTGTAGCCTCCAGAAAACTCCACTGTACACTAGTGAGAGAAGGTGCAAATAACTTCTTATGGTAGCATTGTAACTTGTTTTGCTTTCGGAGACCCTCTGAAAAGGTTGTGGAGACCCTAGAGAGACCCTTGGGAAGCACTGCCCTCTGAAAAATGAGACATTTAGATTTTTCAAAACCTCGATGGCAGACATCAGGAGATGTATCTTCCTTTTGCGAGAATGCTGGATTTTAATTGGTAGAACGGGTCTGGGAAAATGCCCAGGACAACAGCGATAAAATAGTGGGGACAACAACAATCGCTTATTCTTGGCCAAATCCTAACCTGTGAGCTCTTCCTGGGTTCTCTGGTCTGCGGTCAACCTGGACTACAACTCCCCAGACAGCTCAGGGCAGGGGGGCGTGTCCGCAAGCTGTGGGGAGCGTGGGTGACTCAAATTGATGACGCAAGCTAGGGGGGTGCGCGTTTTCGGGGCTGCAATTGGAGGAGGCGGAAGAAGGGGCGGAGTCGGTGATTGGGTCAGCCAATGGTGTGCGGTGAGGAGGAAGGGGGAAACGGGGCGTGGCCATGCTGACTCGCGGGCGCCGCGGAGCTCAAGGAACCCGGAGCCGCGGATCTGGGGGATAGGAGAGTGCCGGTCCTCGGGCCTCGGCTGCCGGGCGAGGGAGATGGCAGCGCGATGGAGCAGCGAGAATGTGGTGGTGGAGTTCCGCGACTCCCAGGTGAGCTGGGCCGGGGAACCAATGGAGTATTCTGGGCATGCGCCTTTCGTGGTTCCCCTCCCCCCGACGTTGCTGCATTCCGCCTCCGGGGGCGGGGAGACCCCGGGCCTGGGCTGGGGAGCTGGGCAAGGGCGACCTGGAGCTGTCAGACTTGGGCGGGCAAGGGGAGACTCGGTGACCGTTGGGGCGGGCACTGACAGGCTCACGGGGTTCCCCGAGGGCGTTTGCGGAGTGGGGTACGCTTGGGGACACAGAGGCAGACACTGTGTGCGCGTGAATGTTTATGGAGCCTTTCCACAGCCAGGGGGGCGAGCAAGTAGGTGTCCTGTTCCTAAGGCTGGGGTCGCGCTTGGCGACATCGGCAAGTTGCACAACTTCTCTGAGTCTGCTGCGTGGATTTAACTCTGCCTCACAAGATTTTGGGGTAGCAAAGTGCCCTTTTCAGCGCTTAAGCGGTTTAGTTGCTGGTGCTCTGCTAGGAGAAAATACCACGTGGTGGACAGGAGTGCACACTATAGGAATTGCTGGGGTTCGATTTTCAGCATTGTCCGCTAGTCAGTTTTCTCACCTGTAGAGAGAAAGGTTCGTGCCTCCCTAGAGAGATGGGCATGAGAATTTTTTTTTTTTTTTTTTTTTTTTGGTACTGGGAATCGAACTCAGGACCTTGTGCTTGCCAGGCAGGGGCTTGTGACACTGAGCTATATCCTCGTCCCGGGCACGAGAAGTTTATGAAGTCATACTATCAAAGTGTGTGGCATAGTGATGGGCACAGTTAAGCCTCGAAATGTTGGCACTTACTAAGGATTTTTACCATTTTTTTCTTTATTTTATTTTTTGGTTCATTGTTTTGTTTTTTGTTCATTCTTTCATGACAGAGTCTTACTAAGTAGGCTGGGCTGATTTTGAACTTGATGTGTATCCCAGGCTGGTCTCAATTCGAGATTGTCCTGCTTCAGCCTCTGTAGTGCTGGAATTGCAGGCATGTGTCATCAAACCCGATGCATTTTACCATTTTTCTTTTCTTTTTTTTTTTTTTCTTTCTTTTTTTGGTTTTTTTCGGTACCAGGAATCAAACTCACGACCTCACGCTTGCCAGGCAGGCGCTGTGCCGCTGAGCTAAATCCCTAGCCCCCACCATTTTTCTATACCTTGTCTTCTATATGCCAGGCCTGGTGCTAAGTGATTTTTTTTGTTTTTTTTTTTTTTTTTTTTTTTTTTAAATTCATGAAAAAACCACGTAAAGCAAGTAGGTTTTGTCCCATTATTCCAAAAGGGGGACAGTCCCTATTTGTCTGATCCTAAGTGACTTGGCTAAGGGCTACCATAATGTGGCAGACGGGATTAGGATTTGGAGACAAGGTCTGATCCCAGAGCTCCTATTCAGCTCATTACACTACTTTGCCTCGAGTGAGGAGCTCAGAATTGTCGTGCAGCTGTTCTGCAGTGAATATCATGATTCCTTCCCCAGCACTTAGGGCAGTGTCTTGGTGATTCTTTTCATTTATTCAAGAAGTAACTACTGAATACCTTCTGTGCACCAGACTTTTGTTCACTCATTTATTCAACAAAGATTTATTGAGCTCCTGGCAGTGCACACTAGTTGTCAGTAGTTAAATTGGTTTACACCAAGGGAAACCTGGATTACTCCAAGTAGGTGGTGTGGTTTCTTCTTTCTAAAACCCCATCTTGTCTTTCCCCATAAAGATTAATGAATGGAGGAGTCGCCCACCAGTCTTCTCTGTGGTACCCTCTGGTAGGTAGCCCCGATGGAGAATCTGACCAGCAGCTTTTGGATTAAGGGATCCGGAAGCAGTTTTCACTGTAAGCACCTGGTCTCTTCGAGGCCTGCCCTCCCAAAGGAGGTGGTGCACTCCTTGGGAAAAAGAGCCAGATTGCTGTTTATTGCTGTTGCCCTTCTTGTTAATTGCTTTTGTGGGGACTAGGACAGAACCAAATCATGTATCATGCATCTGAGCCTGCTACTTTGGAAGATGCTAATCTGCAAACCCTTTAATTCGCACACTTCTTTATAGAGATGTAATTGAGGAGGCCTGCAGAGAGGGCGCTGACACATATCCTAGGATGCTATGAAGTAGGAGCAAATAATTAAAACTAAACAGCAGTTGTCATAGTAAGAGAACAAAGTAAGTTGGGTAATTTAACTGCCTTGTGGGAGTTTCTGTTTTTCTGATTTTTCTATTTAGTTGAAAGGGTACATCTGTAGTGTGAATTAGCATGGATTTGTGGTTGAGCCTGGTGATGATTGGGAGGGATGGGAGCTCATTTTATTAACTATTTCAGTAACGTAGAAAGAGAAAGTTAAAACTCCTCATAGTTGCTTCCTGAAAAGGAAAGCCAGAACGATAAACTTTTCAAGATACTTCACAGCTTTAAAAAATAGTTTAAAAGACCAAAGATTTTAGATTTTTCAGAGGAAAATCCTAGTCTGAAAGATGAAACTTACGACAGAGTTTACATAAGTGTAACTTACTTTATAAAACAGTGCCTTCAGATACTTCTCTTGCTGATTAATGATAAAGAATGTAGGCCAGGGATACAGCTCGGTGGCACAGCGCCTGCCTGGCAAGTGCAAGGTCCTGAGTTGGAGTCCTGGTCCAGTCCATCCTTCAAATAGCCAGTGATTTTGTTTTTTCAAGTCCAGGTTGGTTGAGGAATTGTTAATGTACTGTGAAATCTATTTGCTAGTGTGATAAATGCGTGTAGTCATGTAACCACCACCACCTGGAGTATCATTGATGTTGACCTTGATCCCCTGATTGAGGTAGTATTTGTCAGGTTTCTCTACTGTTCTTTTTGCCCTTTTTCTGTTTTTTGTTTGTGGTTTTTTTGTTTTGTTTTGTTTTGTTTTTGAGACAGGGTCTCACTATGCAGTTCAGGCTGGCTTTGAACTCATTTTGTAGCCCAGGCTGGCCTTGAACTCAGCATCCTTCTGCCTCAGCCTCCCAAGTACTGGGATTAAAGGAGTGTACCTTTTGCCCTCTTTCTGTACTGTGTTCTTTGGAAGGTAGTCTCTAGATGTAGCCATTGGTTAGGTAGTAGGGAGTTAATATCCTAAAGGTATTTATTCAGTCATTTTTTTTAGATCTGTATGAACTCATAGATATTTATTTTTCTTTTTTTCATAGTTATTTATTTTATACTTTGGAATATAATCCAATATTACTTAATTTTATTACCCAAATTATTCCACCTTTCACCATTGGGAGCTATTGCCATTGGCTCTTGTGATCCTTTGACCTTTCCCCGTCATTGTGGTTTTGTTTTTACTTTCTTTTGTTTTGTTTTTTGTTTTTTGTATTTCTCCCAGTACCAGGAATCGAACTCACAACCTTGTGCTTGCCAGGCAGGTGCTGTGCCACTGAGCTAAATCCCCAGCCCCTGTTTTTACTTTCTGGTGCTATAAGATGCTCAGTTGTCATCTTATGCATTTCCTGACCCAGTCCAATAATCAACCATTTCTCTAAGAAATCAAGACCTGGCACTAAAGCACATCTAATAGTAATTACTACTAGTATTACTGTACTACTATCAGTACTTCTAGGCACTCTCAGCTGACAGAGTAAGGACAGCTGCGTGTACTAATCCACATATCCATGCACACATCTGTAAATGCTTCCGTGTGGCATGTGTATCTATATTAAACTGAGCATGAAGTTGTGTTGGCATCTCCAGTTCTAATCCTTTGCCACATCACTGTGACCTCCTCTTCTTGCTTAGCAGTACCCTCCACTCCAGTGTGACAAACCCAACTCCAAGCATCCCTCTCCATTTATGCAGTTGTTCAGCTCCAGCGTACCTGTGCGGTGGTGTAGAGTTATCCTGAACTTAATAGAAAGCTGAATCATTTGCAAGAATATTGTCCCACATACAGTTCTTTGACCCTGCTTTTGCAGAGTCCATTCAGGTTTGCACCATTTTTTTCATCACTGCCTCTTTGATCAGGTCTTTATTCAACATGAGTGTGTCCCAGCTGAGGGCATGAGTGGTGACAGAGTGCCTCCTTAGCATGTGTGAGAGTCTGAGTTTAAGCCCTACCTCCAAAAAACAGCTGTCCAAAATCATTTGACATTTATGAAGTCAACAAATTGTAAGGGTTTTTGTAGCAGATTGCTTTTCTTCTGGTTGTTTTTTTTTTTTTCTTTGTATGCAGGAGGATACTGGAGATTGAACCAAGGGCCTTTGCTCTGAGCTGCATTCACAGCCCTTTTTAAATTTTATTCATTTTGAGAGAGGATTTTGCTGAGGCCTAGGCTGGGCTTGAACTTGTGATCCTCCTGCCTTAGCTTCCCAGGGTGCTGAGTTTACAGGCATACACCACCACACCCACCTCTGTAGTTTATATGTTTGTGTGTGTGTATGTTTTATTTGTTTTTGTGTCTTGTCTTTTTTATTTTGTTTTGTTTTTTGAAACAGGGTCTTATATGTAGTCCAGGCTGACCTTGAACTTATTATGTGGCCCAGGCTGGCCTCAAATTTATGGTGATCCTCCTGTGTCAGCCTGCTGAGTACTGGGATTACAGACATCTGCCACCAAGTCATAGTCTTGTTTTTCTAAGGCATTCTTTCAATGACATTTTAATATATTTCTCCTTAAAACATTTTTCATTGTGGAATATAGCATACATGTGAGTGATCTTGATACTGTGTAAAGAATAATAATATGGGCTGGGGATATAGCTCAGTGAAAGAGAATGTGCTTAGCATGCACAAGGTCCAGGGTTAGAGTCCCAGTACTCCCTCCTCAAAAAAAAAAAAAAAAAAAAGAATAATTATAAGATGTACTAGGATGTTCCTTCCGTGCTGTTTAAAGTGTACACCCCACTGGTTTCTTTTGAAGCATGCATGCTGTCTTTTCCCCAGGACATTTCCTTCTCTAAAATTCATTAATGATTGCACTAAATTTTCGATTTATAATTTTCTTGCTTTTCTTTATACTTTTACTATACATATGTAAAATATAAATAGCTTTTTGTTGAATT